GGGGGGGGGGGGGAGAACTCCGGATAGTCAAGTTCCGATTTATATTTCCGCAGAGTAGCTCTCCGAATTGCAACGGTGATTATGCGTCGCTCGGGGAAATTGTTTCGACATTCCCTGACATTTCTCTCTGCGTCAGTAGTTGTATAAGAACGATTGGCGCAAGAACGATCAAACAAGAGGTCTTTTGTATCATGGCGATTGTTGCGAAAGCGTTCCCGGTAAAAGCGCAGTCTCTTTTACACGATTCTTTTAAACGTTAAGTGAATATCTGTCGGTGCAAATTAGTAGTATATATCTTTTTTATTCACATTATGCTAATCAAAAGCATCACGTTTTATATTTCCTGTCCAATTTTAAAGCAAATTTCATGTAAAAGTGCAACTTTTTTTCGCAAACGCTGCATGTTCGATCACTATATTCAACGACATGCTGATTGAGCTTTTAATTAAGAGATGCCAATTGGTTATCGTTAACATGAAAAAATATTAAAGTTGTATCGTTTTTTTAATTAAAAAATTTACTTGTAATAATGTAAAAAAAAAGTATTTTTTATACAGGTTACATAACTCATACCTCTTTTTTTATATCACGTAACGTTACAGAGACCGTTAAAATAGAATGGCGTAACTGGAAATTGCGATTTTTATACGAAAGCTTACAGAATATCGTGGCTGATTCAATCAGATTTGTCCGAGTTGATCTTATTGTTAGTCGCGGAATCGTAAAAGGGGGGCGATGCCGGATAAGATTCGATACAGAGGACGTGCCACGCTTACATGGAATGCATTTTTTAAGCGAGTAGTATCTCGTGCGGTAGGCGTGATAAATGTTAATGCGGCGATAAAAACTCTAATGTTTGACGCAAGAAAATGACACGACGCAAACTATCGATTTAAACCGAGGGTCGTGCACGGCATGGTAATTTGTTGCGGGGCGACTACTGATTTGCTTTAACGTCGCGCGCCGCCCCGAGACAATGCTTTTTTAGTTGGAGCAAAAATCAGTTAGACGTATTTTATTGTGATTATCCGGCGCTTTGGCGAAAATTTCTTTCATACCGCAATTAAAAGTCGATCTAATATTTATGTTTACCGTAAGCGGCTCAGGTAAGCGTTAAGCGGACTTGCAAATGGGATTCTTATTTGCCTCCATTGTCCGTAATTCGCGACGCCACTTCAGGATCCGTCGAAGGACTTGCGAGAGACACCGAAGGCAAGATGGGCGGGCGATAAAACGGTTTGTCGAAGTCGGAGGCCAGCGCTACGGGAAATGAGGGGCCTTCGAATATACATGCGTTCCTATCGCTACGTGCCGTCGCGTCGCGAAGAATTATTGAATATTTATCTCTGTCCGCGTCTGGAATGGGTAGAATTCTACGCGATATCATCTGACGAGCAACGGGGAAGTTCAGACAAGCAATATCGCACGTTGCGTTTTTACCCTTCTTATTGTATCGATTGCTCGCCAGTCGTTCCTTTCCCGGGGGGAAAGGTGACAAAAAATTTTCCACCGCGCGAATAACGTATCAAACGATAGGTAAAAAACTTATAGACCGTTTTTCTTCGTCTGACAACCTTATCGTGCGTGCAACTACGCTGGGATTGCTCGAATTTCTCTGCGTGAAAGATGCACCGCAGCGTGACGGACCCCCGCCTTCATGTATTAGTATTTCATTCCCGCGTATCTGATTTCGACGCAGGCAAAATAACCTTGGATGAACTTTTAAAGTTCGAAGCCGACAAATATCGAGCGACGCTCTGATTTATGATTGCCAAGTTCGCTAGGTGAAAATTGCGGTTGTCCCGATAAGACCTAAATGGATGAACACACCGTGCCGATTTATACTCGTGCGCGTATAAGGCGCTCCGGGCGTGAAGCTATAACTTTGATTACTCTTGGGGACTCACCCCTATTACTCTACGGACCGTTTACGAACATGATATTCAAGGAGCTAAATAGGAAGCGATATCGATTGTTTTAAATTTGGTTTCCAACAGTGACGTTAATTCGTAAGAAACGTGTAGGCACTGCGGCATTAGTTCAAAACTTACAGAAACCTTTTGTCACTATTTGAAATGCTTTGATCGATTAATTCTGATTTAGTCGTGCTTTTTCTTTGTTGAAACTTTTATAGTAAAGTTGTAATCTAAAATGAAGAAGGAATCTAAAATACATAGGATAGAATGTTCATCCATAACGGCGTTCGACGTGCAAGTTAAAAAGGATTACTTCGCGTGATTCGCAGTATTGTGGGAATTAAACTGCCTATTCTAATTCAGGATATCCAAGTCGTGATAGAAGCAAACATTTCACAATGGAAAGTAGAACGTTACAATATCGAACTAACGTGCCCTTTTGCAACGCGTGCTCCGAGATACGCGACAGCCGAGTCGCGAAGTTATACTTAATCCTAAAATTAGCCTATCGTACTAATTTATCGGGTTGAAAGTTATTTTTCTCTTGAAATATTCTTGCGCGATCATCGGAAAATAAAATAGTAAGTATATTTCGAACGAGTCACGAGAAACGCAACGACAGATATACGCCGCCGCCGCCGCCGCCGTCGCCATCGAATCAAACGTTTTGTCAAGAAAAATGGAACGACAAATTCCAATCAACGTGTGTTCGCGGCCTCTTTGTTTTACGACGGTGTGCAGCGTACGGGAAATACGCGAAACTATTCCAATCTCCCGGATCGAGGTAGGTACACCGTGTAACGAATCGGATCGTAGATCCTTCCTCACTCACATACGGGGTTCTTTCCTTCACTCGCAGAAGTAAAGGGGTAGAAGGATAATTTATAACTCGCAGACACACCGATCGATTTTATTAAACGACACAAACGTGTTAGCGTTTGTAACTTTTGTTTCTTCTCGTTACGTCCGCAAAATCCATACAAGTGCCGCGTTCTGATCTCGGAAGATGCGGATACGAGAAAAACAAAAAAATCGTTATACGAAAATGTACACGGCGTAGCAATTTAATAATCCTAATGTCTGCAACGCGTGCCAGAATCGATGAATCTGTCGCGCGCGCGGTGCACTCTTGGCATTTCTTGCATTCCGCGATATTTACCGAATCGAGCCCAGCGTCGAGACCGGCGGCAATACCGCCGTTCGGAAGTTCCTGAATGCCGGCGGTGGTGCCGGCGGTGGTAGTCGTAGTCGTGGTGGTGGTTGTGGTGCCCTGCGAGCCCTGCTGCAGCTGCAGAGTCGTCTCCTTCGAGGGCGCGCCGGAGTAATGGGCGGCGGTCGAGGTCGCGGCGCCGTTATGCGGCTTGGTGGCATCCAGCAGCACCTTCAGCGACGCTATCGCATGCAGCTGCGTCGCTTTCTCGTCCACCTTGCCTGAACAGCACCAGAGATGCAGGTTAATGAGGGCGAAGGCACGCTGCATTTAGCTCTTAACTGTGCGATCATTTCGTAGTTGAATTTACAACGAAATTGCACGGCGTTTCGTCCGCGACGCAATTTGTTTTTGTAAGCGATTTCGAACATGAATCTCTGCAACTTCTAATTTTTTTAACAGGGCGAATATTAGGCAGCAAGAGATGATGTATTTCGAAGACCGCAAAAATAATCAAGAAATTTGGCAGTTGCAGATTACATCTGCAATAGGAGTAATTTCTGTTTTGGTGTTTATTAGAGCGACTATTGACTATGATTGGCAAAAAGCGTAGATACATCGCGCAGACCATGCGAAGATCATGTTTAACCGCGCTAATTACAACGTTTATAGCGTGTTTGAGCTGTTTTGTCAGAAATTGAGTCGGCTTCTCTGCTGTGTGCATTAATGCCGTTGCCAGGGTGCAATTATATCGGAGCGGGTTCGTTGCGTTCGAGCAAATTTCCCAATGCTCGCAAATTCCGCGCTTCGCCGAGTTTCCGATTGCGATCAGAAAATAGGGAAATGTCGTTCCCGGGCTCCGATGTCTTTTGTTCTTATTTTACGCCAGGCCGAGCGAGCGTGAGACATTTACAAAACGTCGATCTGCGTGAGCCGCGTATCAAATTTCTTTCTTTATTCGCTCCGTCGATTTCCGCAACGTTGGTAAATCGGCGAAAGATTGAAAATGCAACTCTTCGAGATAATCGCAAGATACATAAAAATTCGTCGCATGCAGTTCTACCCTTTAATTCTACAAAATGTATACAAAATACTGTCGCTTTCGTCGAGATATATTGTACTCTCTACGGACTTCTACAATCTCCAACCTTAAGAGAACAAACATGATTCGTTAATTTACTTAGAAGTGATTCTCGATCTAAAGTCTATGAGCAGCTTGTGTGAGCATCCTTCTTAAGTTTTTGTAAACGCTATTCAGTTATGTTGTTGGCTTGCAATGCAAATGCAAATGTCAATTCTTCATCGTGCAAATTCGAAAAAAGAACAAGATTTAACTTTTTTATTCAATAACATTTTACGAAAACTTCGCAACCAGTGTATGCGTTTTATTGCAATAATCAAAATGTTAATTAATTTAAAAACCAAATAATCTCATGCATATATAATGTAACTAATAAATATTGTTTACAAAATTTATCAAGAACACAAAATTACCATGCAAAAGAGGAGAGTTTATTTTATTTGGTACTAAAACTTAAATGTAATTTTGTTTCAAAATTGCGAAAATTTATTTCTATTTAAAAATCGTTTTTTTCCTAAAATAAAAATTCTAGAATTAATAAGTATTTAAATATTAATATTGCATAATGTTGTTCTTTCATAAAAATACCATATGACTAATAATATATGTATTATAATGTGTACTGTGTACTATAATTTTTGCTGCGTTAGGTCTCCAATTTCACTTCTGAAGTGATGTGCAACATGCAGCGGAGCATAGAAAGCGTTCGCGCGGCGCGATGATATATATATATATATATATATATATATATATATATATATAAGTATATCAAAGGCAAATATTAAAATTGAAAAGAATAAGATGAATACGAGCTTCCGTTTACAGGGAGCACCCATTCACTTTTGTAGAGTAATTTTATTTCGGGAACAAGCTCTTAATTTTTTTTTATTTTTCGACTTTATTGAACCTTGCCCAAAATTAATTTGCGTTTAATCCAATGCAGATAATTATTGCCGCAAAATTTAGCATGCTCCAAGCTAGCGGACATGAAATATATAAATACATATAATATAGGAACAGGACATTTGTGTATGTATGAGGCACGTCCGTTTCCGCTATGTACAATTCACAGTGCGCCATGTGTACAGATCATGCATAATTTAGGATGTACATAAGTTCTATAGATAGCTTTGGGGAGAGAATTCGAGAACTCGAATGGTCTTGCCGCTAAAAGGGATCATCGTTATTTCAACAAGTAGTCGATCAATCGACATTATATCTATTTCTCTGAGTGCTGAAACCTTTCCGTGATCGTAAGACTCTTCTTCTTCACGTTTGTTGTAACCTTCGTTAATAAACGAGAAGTAGAATTATCGCACGTGTGATTTAAGAGGGAATAAATTTGAATGATTTTGGAGAACGAAATGATTTCGCAATGTGACGAATTAATCACTTACGGATAATCGGCCATATTCAATTGGTTCGACGATTAATTATTAATGGGTCTTACGTATATGCAATAAAGGAAGATAAATCTGTATAATCATATGTGATTACTTGCTCCATTCACTCAACTGACGGGATATCCATTTTGTGTTGCATTGCATTGTAAGAAAAAAAAGATTCTAAAAATAGAAAAATACAGAGTGAAGAAAAAAGAAGGAATAATTTATCAATTATTCGTTTTTTGACACAGTTCTCTCATAGATTTTTTATTATTTTTTTTTACATTTCTTTACGCTATAAAAACAATCAAGACAAGTCACAATATGTAAGTTACTTTAAAGCTTTCTGTATCATTTGTGATAGCCGGCATATATTTTATAAGCGAACTTTGCAAGTCATCATCAAAATGCATTCGTCAGAAAGTATCGTGAAGTAACTATAGCTAACAATCTGTTTTCGCGAACCAGTTGTGAGGTGCTCCAAATATGTCGGTTACTACAGAGCTCGTGCGAACTTTTGCCGCTGCTCGCTAGAAGTGGTTGAAAGTCAAAACGAGAAGTTGACGGGTAAAAAAAAGCGCGGAGAAGCTGAAATTCGGTATTATATGGAAATAAAATAGAGTCGTTCTCAGTGGGGTAACGTAGTTTGTTATTTATTTCGGCTCTCTATATGCAACACACGCTATCCGCGCATACATCTATAGCTCTTTTTTTTAATTCCAGAAATTGGATCTCCCCGCGATGCATAACACGGGTCCATCCGTACGGTGCTTCGTAACATTAAAAAGAGAATAACGGCGCGAAAGCGATAAAAAATATCTGCGGTGCATCCATATTTGCACAAAGCTGTTTCAGATGTAAGGCTTTGTTTGAAAAAATGATATCGTTTTTCAACCATTTATTTGCAGTTTAACATTCTGAGCGGGTTTACAAAAAGATACGAGCGCGATAGGGAAAGGTCACTTCGCATGAGTAACGTCGTTATCGCGATTATATTTTTGATAAACAAATCGTTGAGAGATCAAAGACTTGAGCCTGATTCAAAATCAATTGCGATACGATCTAGCGGACTGACAAAACTATGATCATTGCTCTGTCCGTGGCGTGAGTCGAGCTTAAAAGGGCCCACCTAACTCACACCGCTTATCGTGCTTCGTGCTAAGGGATCACGGATCTGCGTGCGCGATGCCAGCAGTAGGTCAAAGAGAAAAAGCTCGAGTAAGTGGCCTTCATCCCCCGAAGGTGGGAACGAGGTGAGAAAAGAAAGGCGAAGAGCCCGGGGGCTAGAAAGTAGAATGCGATAGTAGTATCGACCCCGACGCTGCCCGGAGCAAGATGGGTAGCCAGAAAAAGGAAGTGGGTGGAGGGAAGGATGGGTCAGAAAGAAATGGCGAGGAGAGAACGGCGAGGAAAAGGTCGGTTAGCTATCGTGTCTCAATCTGTTAAACTCACAGTCGATTATCAGTTTCGAGATGGTGGAAAGCTTCGGTCGGGAGTGTGTAACGTCGGGAATCGGAGTCGGTATAAGGTTCGTAGGTTCGTGATATAGGAACGGGCTCGACAGGGCACTGCCTGTTAACCCACAAAACTCAATCAACCCGCGTTTACTCGGCCTGCCTGGCTCCCGCTTTATAAACAATTAAAAGCATCAGCTGTCGGGAATGGGTAAAGTGACATCGAATAATGCGCGAAAGTTGCGACGCGTTCGCCGGAAATGTTTTCTATAGTTGTCCGACTGCGAGGAATTCGTGCATAGTTAAAGACTATGCGCGTGGAAAACTAACAAGGGGGTGTCCTGTTCCCCGTGGTGGAATAACAGCTACTATGTTAACAGGTGCTTTCGTATTTGTCCAGTCGTCGAAACGAGCGCAACGCGTCATTCGAGCGAATAGAAAAAGGGCTTTAAGAGGATTTTAGCCATACGTTGCGTTCGATTGGGGTTAGATATAATGGATGATCTCTTAAGTCGAATTGAGTGATTAGAGTGAAGCTAATTAATCGACTGTTAGTGCATTTTAGTTATTTAAACTGCAAACTGCAAATTGTTTTAAAAGTTTTTTCTATATTTTATTTCAAATTTTATTACAGAATAAATAAATTTTTAGTTATTTATGCACAAATAACTTATATTAAAAAATTGATTTAAGGAATTTATATTATCAATATCATTTGCATGTATTATACGGTTAATAAAGAAAGTAACCAAATAAGATTCCCCACATGTCTTATATAATCCTGTCATTTATCTTAATAATATATCTCGCCTTCGGAGAAAGTTCGATAACGCGGAGATTGTCATTATAAGTTCAAGCTGCATAGATAGAGAGTCACCTAAATCAAAGACTATTAAATTCCTGAAAGCACCCTGGCCGAGTTAATCAGAAACGGTGTCTTCCTTATGGAAACGACGTAGGTTTCAATAACTCTTTCCCGTCAGATTTCAATAACTCGTCTCGGGGTAATCTCCTTTTAAGTTAAAATGGTCACGGTAGTACTACTGGAGATAATATCAACGAGTTTCGCTGTCATCCGGCCCCGTTTAGCGAATTATACAGAAATTTAAATCCGAGACTTCGAGTACTTGCCCTATCCATTTACTCTTGCCATTTTGTAGGCTGAAGACAGGTACCTTCCACATAACCGAGAAGATTTTTTAGTTTCACAGCCTTTCAAAAATTAAAATAACAAAATTATCGAAAATAGTACGATGTAAAAGCGTGAGTTTTATATGTATATGAAAGTCGATATAGAATACGATTATAGGCCTGTTCGTTTTCGCTGCACTTCTGAACTAGTGCAATAAGTTAGAATAAAA